CTACAGCAACACAAGTAGAGATTCTACCTGCACTCCTCCAGTTGTACCATCAGATTCCAGCACTACTCCGCGGTGCTGTAAAAGCAAATAAATCCGTTCAGTTTATTGAAATAAAAAACGAACGGGTGAAATACAACAGGCCACCTTTTAAATGTACGGTTGATGTCCTTAACCGCTAAAACGTACTGATTTAAAAGGCGTCATCATTTCCGTTCAACCGTTTGCCACAGGCGTAACATTAGCCGCAGGACCGACGCTGCGCGGCCTATGGATTTGCAACGCGAGGCACCGAGGTTTTATTTGCTAAGATTGGCGAGAACTCATGCTTCAAAACTGTGCCCTACAATGTCCATCGGTTATCAATTCAGACTCAATGTGGAGCATTTTCAGACCAACACGGTTCGGCCATGTGAGTGCAAATTGTTAGCCCATTTCGACGTGCATTAGCGGGGTCCGTAATATCTCTGCACAACCCAGATAAAGATTCTGACAGAGCCTCTGAGTTCTGTCGGCTTAGAAAGATTCCACTCAGCCATTGTACAATGACAAACGCCAGTGATGTATTTAATGAGGTCGTTTAACGCATGATTTCTGGAGTTGACTAAGCATGAAATTTGGAAAAATTGATTTCGCGGTGGCTTCCGGCTTTTGCTCCAGGTATAGAAGGTAGAAATGAAAAGTACCAGAGAAAAATACGCTCTTATTGACAAATGGACCATATTTGGTGATTTTTTGGGAAGAGACTTTTATTTATCGTGCTTGTCTGGATATTTTCAACATTAGCCTTCAACAGCAGCCTGAATTGATCAGCGATACAAATTTGCCAAATTTGGGCATGTGCGCTCGCAAATCTAAGCTACAAAAACCTCGATGATGATCGATGTTGCAGTCTCCATAGGCCGCACAGCGTCGGCTCCGCAGTTCTTATTGAACATTGGCCTACGGTTGGACGAAACTGATGATGCATTTGAAAGAAGTAAACTTCGACGCTTTAGTACATCAAACCGTACATTTAAAAGATAGCCGGACGTATATTTCACCCGTGCGATTCTTAGATTGATCAATTGATTAATTGAATGGATTGACCTTAACCACACTGCGACGTGGTGCTGGATTTGGAGGTATAATTGGAGGAGTAGAAGTAGGATCTTATTGTGTTGCTGTAGCTGTCAGTCTCCCCAGAGGACAGCCTCAAGGCTGGAAAAAGATACACCAAGCCTAATCCTTGAACGAAACGAGTTATTTTTTTCAGGCATTCTAAAGCATTGTTCCACGACGGCCACTCTCGCGCACAACGCACCAGCCGCCAGGTGTTACTTGAAGTGGCAACGCCGTTCGGTTTTACGGAAACTGAAACCCAGGCTATCGCTGCCCTTACTTCCTAGACTGCGAGTGCGCAGGCTCAAACTGCTTTTTGTGAACAATTTTGTTTGTGAACAAATTGCCACTGCTTTTATGTGAACAATCCTCAAAACCCTCATGTTACAGTCCATTGTCAGACGGCTCCGACCAAAGCAAGAGGCCCTCTGTCACTCGGGCTCTCGTCCCCGCCCTTGTTGGGCAAATATTCCCCTGACCAGCTCGAGGTCTTTTTTGACACAATGGACGGACCCAGAGGGGGGCCACGGGGCCATGCCGCCCCTCTTGGGCCCCGAGGGTCGAACCCGTCCGCTTATATGTCCTCTTTTATCACCCATAGCCGGCTGAACAGACGCGGTTTTTTACCCAACGCGCAACAAAATGGGACGTCTTTGAGCTTCCAGGCGACCGAGAACAGTCGTCAGCGAAAGTGAAGGGCCAACAAGTAGACAGAAATTACTCTTTACTGTTTGAGAGGGTGGTGATTAGGATGTTGTAAGGCTCATCCAGCTCTCCATGTGCCCTACACTGTTTCCAGGGGCCCTATATGTCCGCTTTATGGCCAATCCGATCGTTAAGAAGCCTTCTACGTTGCCCTTGATTTCTTTGCATTTGATATGAGGGCCCTGCGCTGCTGCTGGAGCCTTTCCTGTTGCGTGCCGGGGCACTCTCGTCAATCAGGAGCCCTCCACGGACTCATTCCATTCGCCCGAAATACTAAACGCTAGAGATGGGGGCGCTAAATATTAACCTGCCATGGTATTCTCGGTTGCTCAAAGACCCTTCGCGTTGATCGGTTAACCTATCGACACACGATATGATCATAAGTCCTCTCAAATCTGTCACTTGCTTAGGGCCTTACGCTCCTGTCGGGCGTCTTATCTGATAGCGTTTGGCACACTTGTTCGTTCGGGCCCTCTACATTGGATCTTGGGTGCTTCCTATTTGAATGACGGGCCATGTTTGCACCTTCGCCTGATCCAGTAAGGGAGAAAACACTCCGCTCATTGTGAGCTAGCAAAAACACAAGTCCAAACCACCAGCAGCTTCTGGCCACAACCTAGCAAGGGCAGGGGTTTGAGCAGGGCGAGCGCACACTCAGCCAATTCATTAGTATTTAATCGACACGGGAAGTGAGTACGCCTATGCAGAATACTGATCAGGGTTTGTGGGATCTGTTAGTCCGTTCGCGGCACGCAGGTGGGACTGGTAGGCACGGTAGGTGGGGCATGTAGGTACTGCCAGTGGGGCTGGAACTCTCTCGTAAAAATTAGCCCCCCCCCCCTCCCCACTCCGACGCACCATCGCAAATTCTGGCTGTCCCCGCCCTCCGAGGTTATGCACACCTATTGTCCCGATTAGTGGTTTGTGCTCCGCGTCGATCAACGCAGGCCTACAAATATTCCAAAACCGCGACAGCTATCTGCATCGTCTCAAATAGCAACCTCACGGTGCAGAGCAGTAGCTGCCTGCTGTCGTGTGACGTAAGCTGCCATGTGGGTTTATAAGTTCCAACAGGACACACAGCACAACTGCGTCAATTTATTTGGAGCGCCGATACAGCTGAATCACCCACAATGATGTCAGAGACGGCCAATTTCGCGTGGGAAGTGCGGGAGGTGCTCAGTACAAAACATGTGACGTTTCTTCGCAGAACGGAACATTTCTTCAAAAGACTCTGCCCCTTCAAGCACAGTGGAGCTCCAGACGACGCATCAAATGGATCAACATCACGCATCATACAAAATATCTTGTAGGTCCGCCAATAAGGCAAGTGTTAAGGCAACTCCACCAAAGACTTGCACAATGTTAATGCACTACTGACCGCACGAAGTCAGTCAAATACGCATCACAACACATCGTCCCAGAAATGCCTCCATGACTGGACGCGACCAAAACGGCGCTTGGATTCGCACATTCGACCTGATATTACAAGCCGTTTCCACAATCGGCCAAATGGCCGGAAGACGACCCAAATGGTGCTTGGACGGAGTGACCGCGGGAATATCATACTCGACCTACGCCTGGCCCACCAAAGGAGCACTCCGCTCACTCCGGGCTAGCAAAGACACAAGTCCAAAATACCAGCAGCTTCTGGCCACAAGTTAATAAGGTTACGGCGGCTGCGCACAGCGACACGCACAACGAAAGGTCGCATTGCGATTGGCGGCAGCCTGCTGCTGCTGGAAGACATCGGCATGTAGACAGCGAACACCATGGCGGCAGCACATAACGGACCGGCACACTGTCCATCAGCAAGAGTTGAGCCCCGTGCTGCGACTGATTAACAGCGTCATGTTCTTCCTGAACGACTACCAAACACAGTTCGTCTGCTACAGGGCACCATTGCACGAGCAGCAATTAACTGCGTGCGCACGATGCGACACCAGACGATGCATTTCAGAACTAATGGAAATCACATGTTCGCATGGAATACTCGTATTCTCTCGGTTAACTGTCACTAGCTCCACCAATGCCATCACAGCATAAACACAGGATGGAAGCAAACAGCACCAAGCATCGCTTCGCGGGCTGGAATGAGAAGTGCTTATCACGTGGAGCACAAAAGCCAGGCTTCACCAAAATATTAATTTCTCATTGTATTCTACAAGTCGACCGCTCCGCTCCCAGACGTGCGAAAGCACGGAAGTGGGCAAGAGATGGGGAGCAGCAAGCCAGACGTTTGGGAAAGGCATCACCGGTAGCCTGGCAGTTTTGCATGGACAACCCGCCAAATCACGCGCATCCCACCCTCACCTCACAAGACCCCAGCTTGCAAGTTTCTAGATATCTGGGGACACATGTAACGACTGATTCCAAGAAATACATACTCCATTCACAGTCATGGAAGACATGATGCCTGGGTTTAATCTTACGGGAAATTTTGATGCTTTAAGTCGCCGAAAACGTACGGGCCATACAAACAAAAAATTGACATGACATGACATGGTGGCATGCATTTCGCAGGACTTGGCTACGCCCTAATGCACCTGGAACACCCGACGAATTGCATGATTAGCTACCTTAGTGCTCACGCCGAAATGGAAGCATCGGTCCACCTTTGGTTATGGCACATTTGCAGCCTGCAGTCTCTACGAAGCACCATATCGACGATAAATACAAGGGGCAAATACGCCTCCAGCTGTCCGATTTAGGCCATAGATACCGGTCATATTGTGACACCGACTAAACACCGTTTACCACCAGCGCTACGTAACACTGCTTTGAATCGCATCAATTACTTCAGTTAGTAAGCCTTTCCAACAATCAAAGCGGCTCACATACCTCCACAGCGAACCTGCAGCGGATCGGTAGTGCACCGAGCGCCCAGCGTCTGACCCGGCTCAGGCCACGTCCGCGAAGCCAGCCGCAACACCGACGCGACCGTCGGCGTGACAACCCCGCCAGACGTGACCTAGGGCGAGCTGGGGCCAGCAGCGGGCGGCGGCCTCTCGGCGGCGCCCGCCGACAGCTCCTCGCAGGCGGCCGCCTCGAGCGGCGAGACGAGCGCGGTGGCGGCGCGCGCGCCCCGGCCGCGTGTGTTGTTGTTCAGCTCGGCGCGGAAGCTGCTGCTGGGCGCGAGACGCGCGAAACTCGCGCGGGTCGCGGAAGCTGGCCGAGCGCAGCGGCAGCCGGCCGGCCTCGCCCGGCGGCACCGCCGACTGGCGCAGTGACACCTCGCGCTCGCGCACGCGCAGCTTTGACTCCACCTGGCCCTTGGTGCGCTCGGCCGTGATCAGCTTGCAACGGGCCGCCTTGAGCTCTCGGTCGAGCTTGACACGACCCTCCTCGACCTCTCGCAGGCGCAGCTGCGCCTCTTCCAGCTGGCGCTGCTTGCTTTTCTGCAGCACCTCGAACGCCTCGCGCTTCTGGCGCTCCTCGTCCAGCAGCGCCGTCAGCTCAGCCTGCAGCCGCTCCAGGTCCTCGCGCTTCTCCCACTCCTGGCGGAGCACGCGACTCTGCGCGCTGCGCACCAGCTCCTCGTCGCGCTTGGCCTGCTTCTCCTCCTGCAGCAGCCGCTCCAACTCCAGGCGAGTTTCCTCCAGTTCGGCCAGCTTGCGCTCCTCCTCGGCCTTCTGCAGCTCCAGCTCGGCCGCCTGCGCCTCAGCGGCGGCGCGCGCCAGCCGCTCGGCCTCCAGCTCGGCCTTGGTGCTGTCCATGATGTTGATCTGGCTGAGGCGGCGCCGGTCGTCCTCGTGTTGGCGCGCCTCCGTCTGGTGCCACTCGGCGCGACGCGCCGCCGCCAGGTGCCGCTGGCAACCCTGAGGCGAGCCCGAGAACGAGACGGCCGTCTCCAGCGCCGACAGCCACTGGAACTTGGTCTTGTAGTCGGGCGCGGCCAGCTCCAGCGCAGCGCCGTCAGCCGACACGGAGAACCGGTTGGGCCGCACGCCGCTCTGCTCGATCAGGTTGACCACCTGGGTCTGCGGACTGAGCGGCAGCCGCAGCTGCGGCCGCGCGTCGTCGCGCCGCCGGTAGCAGCGCAGGTCGCGCGGCGTCAGCACGCACCAAAGCGGCCGGAAGCCGCGTACGCAGTCGGCGCGCCGCTGCAGCGGGCCCTTCTTCACCACGTCCTCGACGACCACGTCGTAAACGTCGTCGATGGCCTCGCGCAACGCCTCCGTCTCCATGTCCTGCGTGTAACGTGTCTCCAGGAAGGCGAGGAAGATGGTGAACTTAAAGTGGTGGATGATCTCGGCCAGCTGCTGGAAATCGGCCGAGTCCCAAACGCGACCCAGCGCCTGCACAAACTTGCTGGCCACGAAGTCGACCTCCCCGGCGTTCATGACCACCTGCACGGCCAGGTCGGGGTCGGACATGAGCTCACCAAGACAGCAAAAGACGCGGAACAGCTGGCGCACGCATTCCTCGGGCAAGCGTGGGCATGTCGCGCTTCATGGCCGTCGGGCGGTACAACACCCAGCACGTGTCCTCGACGGCCTCGTGGTAGACGCGCAGCTGGTCCGGCGTCAGGTCGGCCGGCAGCCGCGAGAACACCTCGTGTGTCAAGTAGTACTTGTAGTGCTCGAACGTCAGCGTCGGCGTGCTGCGAAACTCGCTGATGCCTGCCTCCACCTTCTGGTCGGCGAGGTCCAGCAGCGTGCCCAGGTTCTGTGTCAGCACCTTCAGCCTTGACTTGGTCACGTTTCCATGCTGATCACTGTCCAGACTGGTGAAAGCATGCCAGATGCTGTTTTCGAGCATTGGCAGTAAATCCATGACGTGGCTGGGTGGAGTGCTCTTGTGGTCAGTGTAGTAATGAAATATCAGCAAGAATATTGCATGCTTTCCTTCATGATATGCATCATTCTGAGCATGGACTTCTGGCATGAAAACCAGGAAAAGCTTTCACTCCTTGATGCAGACTTTCAAGGACACACTATCACATAGCAAAATGCTTGTTGCCAATCTACATTGTTATCAATCACATCTCCCCACTGAGTGGAATGTGTTCATTACTGCTATATAACAGGCTGTTCAAGTCAAACACCTTCCAGCTATCCCACACATTCATTTGCAATATCTTGATAGCAAATTACCACCCAGTAGATTGGGTTTTTGAGTCCTCATCACACTGTGTCACCCAACACTACAGGCTGACTGTACTAAGAATGACCTTTTTCTTGGGCAATTTTTGGCCTGAAAGATCAGAGTCATGTCACACATGCAGCTTTGCATCTGCACCTGTGAGAAAACACCAAACACATATGTCATATGTACTTGACAGGTCCAGGATGTGGGGCAGGCTAAGAACATCTGTTGACAAACTGTGCCAATGGGTTTCAGAACCAGGATTGGTAAGGACCTATCCTTAAGTTATTTGGGTACCTGGGCATGGGTATTTGCTTATAGCACATCCCCTAGCATGCACTAAATGCTGTGATGTGTCTTCTAAGATTCAGACACAGTGGATAGTTGGCAGTCCACTGCAAAATGGTTGACATTGAAACTTGGATGGTTGCCAAACTGCCCTGGAACTTCTATATACCACAGCACAAGGCAATGCAACATGAAAGACATTATGCCAACTTAATATCACTTAGTTAAAGGCATATATTGCTGTTAATATTTTATGCTCTATACCATTCTCCTTTAAAATCATCATAATTGACCTGCACAAATTATTCTGGAAAGTTTGGCTTGAGCACTCAGAGTCCAATGTTAAGTTCACAATCCAATGAGAGGAAAGCGGAACTTGCCAGTTTCGACAAGAACTATAAAGCTGTCGCTCAATGCATGGTAATCAAGCTAAACCCCTGGCTTCGAAGTCAAATCTAAAGCCAAAGTTCAAGGTGGAGCCAAAGCTGAGGAATTTAAACCTGCAGCTGGGAATCTGAAGCTAAAGCTGGCATCTGCATATCTTTAAAATGTGAAGTTGAATCTGAAAAAGTGGCTTCAACCATAGCATAGCAGGAGTAAAAAATCAACAGCTTAGAAAGTAGGAAATATAAGGTCATACCCAAGCTTTCAGTTTGAAATCATTGGGTCAAAGTCTGAGGTGAATCAAATGTTCAATGTTGTTCTGCAAGTCGCAAACCCATTTTTTATGGAGGCCAAAACTGCATCGGATAAGAAAACATCATAGTTTTGCAGTTGATTGAGCCAAAAAGAATAATAGAGAGGACCTCAAAACCAACCTAAAATGGAGAGCACCATAACCAAATATGGCAATGGAAGCATGAAAGATGGCATCTCACATAAATAAACTAGAACACAACCAGAAAAGGCAAACCACAAACACATGCTGATAAATTATCCTCAATGTACAAATCAACCTTGGGGCTCAAATGGGTACCAGAAGTGAGACCCCACCAGCACAGACCAGAGGGCAGACCTGCAAAGCTGCAACCTGCCCGGACGTCATTGATATAGGGCATACCGAAAAAGTATCCTGGAGTTACAGATGTTTTTTAACAAGACTGCACCCCGCGGACGGGCGATGCCCCTCACAAGCAAACTCGCCTAAAGCTTTGATTAGCGTAATCGAATCATTAGCATGCATTAGAACCCATGAAAGGAAATGTTTTCTCTCCTTGATCAAATAAATTTCCCCACTGCCAGGTACTTCCCTAAATAGTCGTTGTTTGCAATACAACGCAAAAAAGCTCCATTGCTGCATAAAACAGGTCCAAAATAAAAAATATCCCTTATTAGAACTGTGTTTCTGTCAGGACCCAGGAAAAACGCAACGAAAATCTCCAAAAAAAATATGGTGAAAGAGGAAGAAAAAAATATAAGAAAAAATTGGGATATGGTAGTGTTTGGTATCTCAACTTTACGACAGACACAGCGCAGCATTTTTGTTTTGTTTACGTGCTAGCCCGCGGTTCTCATGCTGCCCGAAATCCAACTTCCGTAGAGTAGGGCTGGTCTCAGGGGTAGGTGTATTATGTTTTATGTGCGCATACGTGAGAGGTGGAGAGACTAAGCCAAGGATTTTTGCACCTTTTGTTCCATATTATCGTCGTGACCTTCTGTTGCAAGGCTAGATGAGGTAGTTCACGAAGGTCAGCCATGCTGAGTTAACCTATGTTTATTGCAATGGTGGGTTTAGGAAATGTAGCCAGCGGTCACCAGTAGCTGGGCCTCCTTGTTGCCAGACTGTGAAACATATGCTACACTGAAAAGTTAAGGTTTTTTATATTGGTGATCAGAGTGATTTTGCTTTACCATGTTGTCTGCACAATTTCAGCTGTTAGGGAGCCAATGGTCATGTTTCAGGGAATTGCAATGTTGTGGAGCCAGTTCCAGGCATGCCCCCAAAACCCCGAAAACATTTTCATGGAAAAGTTATCTAGCTTTCACGTCTCTATGCCAACGGATGTTGCTGCTTAAACAAATTTATCAGCCACCCATGCAAAACCCATAGTTCGCCTAATGTAACACATCCTGTCCTTATATAACCCTAGCTAACAACAGGTTCAACTAACCTGTGTGACAGTCAGTGTGCAAGACCCGCCCACTGTATGTGATAAATGGTGTCATTGTGATACAACTATAGCATGTATGCTTTTAATGAGTGTAACACATAAGTAACCAAAAACTGCCATCAATACTTTTATTAATGTCATCATCAGCACATGTCTTAAGTGAATGTTGTATATTTCTGTGGGGTTTTGAATAGAAATAGCCATATTGTCATTCCACAAGCCATGCTGAGAAAAATATTATCATCTAGGTATTCATATCTTACATTCATGAACACAATTTTCAGATGTTACAATATAACTAAGAGCTGTCAGTTGGCTTTCAATCAGTGATGTGCAAGGCACATAGAAAACATTCACAATAATGGCATCATTTAAATCCTGTCATTCCATACACAATGCTGAAAAATATTGTAGAGTTCTTCATATCTTGCATTGATCATGATTTTCAGATGTAACAGCATAACAGCTGCCAGTTGGCTTCTGAATGACAGGACAAGTACAATGACATAATTAAGCAATGATGTATCAAGAGGCATATTTCCTAAACAGACAAATTGTGTTGTCAAAAGCAATGTTTTCTTTTCAAAAGTATACAAGCTTTCATAAGTGAGCTTGCTTTATTATATCTGATATTTGCTTTATTATTTTCAAAGATGAAAGATTCCCTTCAATTGTGGCCTAATTAGTTTTGCCTACAGCCCTTATTGTGTTGTGTTTGCATGCAATTATCATTATTTTCTAATTCTGTCAGGCAGTAGCTCTTCATCTACTGAAGTTTGTGGTGTGGTTGGCCAAACTCAGAACACTCAAATGTGCAAGGGGATACATTGTTGATTTTTTGTATGCAACTCTGTCAATGCAATAGACATGCTCAGCATGTTCAGTATTTTGTCCATCCTGGTCTATCAGGGGCCACAGACAAATTATCTACTAAGCTGTAGCATCATCTGCTGCTTGGTGGGCTTCAGTGAAAGGCAGCAGGCACATTGTAGCATGTAATCTAATTCCATTGCCAATTGCTGCTCATGCAGCTCTTTCTTAATGAATTTTGATTGTATGTGAACCTTGAACTCTACATCCTGTTAACAGTTATCTTGGGAACCATGGCATCCTTTGCACACTTCTCCCATGTTAAGCATTCAGGATACATATCACACATGTTTATGAAGTTGCTGTCTAGGAAGTGCCTCATTACTAAACTTGATCTTCACAGAACACCCCACTTACTTGTTAAGGAACAAAAGTTATGGCATGCAGTGTTGTGTCAGTGCAGTGTGTGATGTGATGGGTGTCAGGACCCCTTCCTCCATGCCTGTCACATGGTTAATGGATAACCATTACACTTAATGCTTTCAACCCAGTTGTAAATGCTAAACTGTCTATGCATATTGTAAAACTTGAAGATTTTTTATGTCCCTTACTGCCACCTGGGGTGCATATTGTAAAAAAAACTTGAAATTTTTCATGTCCCTTACTGCCACCTGGGGAGCTGCTATTATTTGCTGCACATGGTTCCCACAATCTTAATGTTATGGGTCAGAAGTATGGTCAGGAAGAGGCAAGCTGTAAGACTCAGCTGATAAACTGTGCCCAGAAAGCCTGAGGAGCTCTCCATCCATCAACACAGGAAGAGTGCCAAGGCTGGGATGCTGATTACTCAGAACAGTCAGTGACTGGTGCCCTGTTTCTTAGGCCACATACCTTTCCATGGTGAATTGATTTGGTGTTTGTGCATCATGTTCATGCTGCACAGCTGTTGATTGTCAACATGTGCCCCCTCAGTAGTGTGGAGCCAACTTCATGGGATGCAGCCATGACAGCTGACAGGGGGCCACAGTCTTCTGCTCAGTCAATCACATGGAGCGTGGAAAACGAAATTCACCTGTTTGATGCAATGACTGGCTACAAACCTGTTGGTAATTATCTATAGCTAGTTCTTAGATAATTGTTTTGGTGTTTGATGGTACATACTGTCTTGAGTGCTTTTTCTGGATTCTATCATATTCTGATCCTGTCAAAAGAGGCAGTGTATGTCAATAATTAGTTCACTTTGCAACCTTGTAGCTATTTTGCCTTAGGATACATTATTTGCAGTGGAGTTGAGAGACCTGCTGTATGTGGCTCATGTATTCTGTGAACATTTTTTACATGTGTGCATTATTAATACATGAATGCATTTTTCTCCACTTGTTCATAACACCTATTACAAAATTAGTTTTTGCTTCTTGTTACCACTGTACATTTACACAAGAATGCCAGCGTGATGTGGTACCCATTAACCAATGTTGGTGATGTTTGTCTCCAGGGGTCAACAAACATTTCCAGATGCTGATGATACTGGAGCGGTTCTGCTCGCGAGTGCGACAAGACGTGCCTGCTGCGGTCATTTGGGATCGGCTGAACCAGCTATATGACATGACTGCTCTGGTGGGTATGCCACGGTTCAGGGTTCACCATCCATTGCAATGACTTATGACTGACGTTTCGTGGCCGTCGAGCACCAGCAGCACGCAGCGACATCTGATGGTGCGTGTGACCGAGCTTGGGTCTGCGGCCAGGACGAGCTGGAGAATCTGCCGTTCCCGAACAAGCAGTCGGAGTTCGGCCTCCCTGCCGACGAATTCGACAGCCTGATGCAGGAGAAGCTGCGCGGCGGAGAGCAGCGCGACGACGAGAGGACCCGCGACGACGGCAGACGACCCAAGACCAAGGAGGACAGGGGTGAGTCAGGAGCGGCGCCCGCCTGCCTCGCCGCAGCTGACGCAGTTGGTACTGCCTGGCGCTCGAGCCGTGACATAACCTGGTTATGTGCGCTAGCGAGGCGCTATGGCAATGCACTCGCGTGTGTTCCTGCGTATGGTTCGCTAAATTATTGTTCCTAGTGGCAGGGTTCGGTCTGGACGCGGCAAATGAGGTGCAGGTGCAGCTGTGACAAGTATCCTTGATGTACATAAGCAGGCATTGCGTGAAGATGAGCACGCATTGCTTACAAATGTATCGAGGCAGCTCCAACAAATCCGCCACGCTGTGCCAGACTGTCCTCAGCCTTTGTAAAGCGAGACTGGTTAATTTGAACATAGGCATTGTTTTGCCCCCCCCCCCGACCATATTACCACTACCTTCCATACAGGCGTCGCTTTTTAAAACGCGATTCTCCGACAGAGTCAAAGTTACAATGGGGGGGGGGGGGGGGTGATAATTAGGCGCTCGTGGACCATATTGTACTACACGACTCCCCCATTGGCCCCTTTGGCACAAAGCTTTACAGACAAATTGCAAGAGACAGACATAACATTTGATGACCATCAAAGTGTCATGAGAGGCAGTACGATTCCACAACTCTCCACGTGCTAACTCGGGAACCTCCACCGCCCACATCTGCACTTGGGAACCGTCCCACCAAGCCTTCTCCGCCCTCACTTCAGCTCGTGTGGCGGCAGGGGCCGGCGCCACGCGGGAGAAGCGGAAAGGCGACGCCGGAGACCAGGTGCGGCGCGCTCCGAAGCGGGCGGCGCGCGACAGCATGGGCAAGGCGGGCAGCCCGGCCGGCACGTCGCTCCCCAAGCGGACGCGTCGCATCTGACCGCGCCCCGCTCCGGGCGCCGGCTACACAGCGTTTTCGAGCGGTGTTTGTGGGCGGTGGCGTGTGGGACCAGTCGGGGATGAGCACAAGCCGATCTCGGCGCCGGCGGTCGTTGGTCGCCGGGCCTGTTTTTACCTCTTGTGCACGCCTGACGGCCCGCAGGCGGAGGCAGTGGCGGGGCCGAGCTCGGGCTGCTGGTGCCTCGTGCGGAGCCGCGAGGGCGGCATGTGTTACTCCATGCTCCGCGTTGTAAGGCCGTGGGATGCGCTCTTGACTATGTGGGTGAAGCTCGGGGTTCTGGCCCCTTCCATTGAATAAAGCCTTCGTAGTGATTCGTTTACGGGAACGTGTTCAGTGTGGAGTTACTGCTATCGTCAGCACACCTCAAATCGGCCTCCCAGGGCCTGTACCATCCGGAGCGCATCCAATAATCCTAAAAGCTGACGTTAGTCTGTGGTGCTGCATGGTGAGGATGGGCCAAGTCACAGCGATTAAGCATTTGGACGGGGATAAATCTCTGGGAGTGCTGTCGGGGCTTGGAAATATTGTTCTGTAAGACGCAATCGAATACCGCTCTGATACAACGCAGCGCCTGGCGCTCTCCAACCAACAAGAGCTCGAGACGGCCAACACAGCGGCGCCTGGGGTTGTACGCCGGTTCGGTTTATTGGAAAGTCGCAGAGAGCTGGTCCCAGCGTGGCTGGCCGGTCGGCGCCGGTGGTCACGACCTGGCCCGACCGCGAGCTGGGGAGCGGCGCTCAAGAATAAATACTATGACCCGCGCCGCCCCGACGGAACGTTAACACCCGCGGCCCGCGTCGGGCGCTGGACCGTGACGTCACGCCCCAGCCGCGCTGTCGCTGTCACGAACGGCCGCGGCGGTCCACAATCACGGCGCGTCGGAGCGCGAGGCGGCGCACCACGTGCCCCGCGCGCCCGGGTCGGACGCAGCGACGATATTGTACTTCCGAGCGCCGCCGGAGACAGGACCGGACACTGGCAGCGGTGCCGGCGCGGCTACGACCGTCCCGCTCCCTCAGCGAGAGCGACACGCGGCGGCGCCGCCGCCGACACTCGGAATAAAACCCGCCACGACACCGGCACCGACACGTCTACCCACAATTGCGGAATAACTGATGCGCTGTCGGGCAGGCCCGGTACTGGCCCGACCCGCCCGCGGCCGCCGCCCACTGACTGGGCCACCAGTTGATACCCTAGCGGCCCGGCTCGTTACTGCCAGAGCGGCCCGCTGAGCGGGGCGCCGCTGCCCAGCGGAGCGTAGGACGTGGGCGTGCCGCCCAGCGGCATCTGCTGGTGTCCCATTGTCATGCCGGCCATCTGCTGGTGCAGCTGGAAGCAGAAGTTGTGTCAGATGTACGTTTGCTCCTGCCGGTGGGCGCACGATATTTTGCGTCAAGTTTATGTTGCGACGGCTTGGTTGGGTGCATAATCCCATTCCAGCCGATCTTTGACAATCAGTTCCTCCCAGTCGTCCTGCTAGTGACCGTCAGTCGTGCTGCACTGCCCACCAAGACACGTTTGTAGCGTCCAGATGTCTACTCCATGCACTACATATTTGCGCAGTTGATGCTTTTACGAGCTCTATCAGCCTTTAGGGAGTCCGTGGTAAGGTGCTAGTATAAAGTAAGGTAGTTAGTATAAAAACGCTTCAGTGTATCACTTGAAAATCTTTGAGCCGTGGTCCGACGATTTTTCCCAGAGCATGCGACCTTGGCGTCCCCATTTCAATGAATCTCAAGTCGAGGGAAAATCATATAAATGATGTCAACAAGCTTTGCAAGAAAAGCCCGCCACCCGAGGATCGCACCTGTGCGCGCATGCGCATCACGCGTCTCGACACGATCTGCGACGCGTCGGTGCGTCTGGCAGGTGCGTCCGAGCGGACCAGCCACTCACCTGCGGGTACCCGTTCTGCGGTAGATTGGTAGGCGGCATGGCTGGCATCGACTGGTTGTGGCTGTAAGCGCCCGGCCCCGCCATGTATGGTTGCTGCTGCTGCTGCTGCTGCTGCTGCTGCAAAAGGGACGAGTGGTCTCGGTGCTAGGCTGGAGTCTAGGTTTCCCTTCACGCTTCTTTTGAAATCTCGAGGAAACCTTTTCTCGAGGTCCCGAGTGAATAGCATGATTTTTGGCTGTTAAGCTCACCAAGAGAGCTGATTTGCCAGCGTACGATACGTCCTTACCTTTATCGAGGCGATACGTTGTTTTATTTTTGCTTTTTGTTTTATTGGGGGTCATCACGGGTTTTTCCTGAATATTACCACGATGTTTCCAAATCCTGAATTTGAGTTGATGGAGGTTCATCTATTTGTACATGACAGGACAAGTGAATTTAATTTCGGCCCAAGCGTGGGCTGTGCTTATGTTCGAAATGCAGCGCATTTATCGCAGGTGTGGGAGATTGTAAAGGAGGGCGAAACGGACGCCCGCTCGAAGCTGGGAACTATTTAACCCCACTCCTACATTGAAAATGATCATCATAAATATCATGGCGTTTCATAAGAAACCACCTGGAAGCCAATTTTGCTCTCATTCCCAACTCTGAACAGACTCCACCACCGCCGGTGGATCAGTGCTCTTCCGCACCACTCCATCTGCGAGAGTTAGCTTTGATCTACATAGCCACTGGTCTCAAAACCACAGTGCTAGTTCTGTTCAGATGCAGCGCCGGTCTAGGCAGTCAAATGCACAATTCAAAGCGGGACAAAAATCAGACGCCACACACGAACGCAGACAAAAATATCAGTCACCCGTGGACACCGTCCATATCGATGTGGGGCACTCATACTGCTGAGACAGGGGACATCTGGACAGCTGGCACCCAAGCGAAAGAAAAGCTAACCTGACCAAAACAAGCTTCAGGGTAAGGGCGGGGACTTCCCACATTCTGGAGCTATGTGTCTGCATGCAGTTGCCTCGTATACATACAATGCACTACCATTACACTCATAAAGACGTTGGTCCGTGCATTGGTGTCCAGACGATGTATCACACGACCACAAAACAAACAAAACACCATATATCGATCAATGCTGGGAATTTTAGTGATTCATGATCAAGTCTGACCTTTGGCTTTCGATTGGTCTTGACTTTGACCTCACACATTACAGATAATTGCAGCAATGGACTCCCTACCACACAGCACCCCTCAAAACCGGTATCCCACGAACCTCCAAGACACCGAGAAAAAAAAACTTTGACACTGGACCAAAGTTCAATATGGCGGCGGCCGCCACCTTGGATTATGAAAAAATGCTGAAAGTTGCACATGACGCAACTAAGCTAAGCTGGATCTCCTGGCCACATAGAACATACTTCTGTAAAAAAGTTTGCGGTAGCCGACATTGCATGGTCTCATGTAGGAAGTCCAAGGATGGTAACACGACCATATCGACAACAGCTATTTGAGGACGATTGGTTCATTATGATAAAAAGCGGCTTACGTTTTTTCCCCTTTGAACGACACTAAATGCACGCTCGATGCGTTCTGACGCCGCTCCGTCGCCCACCTGATACGGAGCCGCGTGGAAGGCGCCGACTTGTGGCTGAAACTGCTGCGGCTGCTGCTGCGGCGCCGGGTATCCCATGCTGAAGCTCTGGGCGGCCGGGTAGCCGACCGGCGGCTGCTGCTGCTGCTGCTGCTGGGGGAACCCTACTCCAGAGCTGGCGGGCGGCATGCCGGCATATGCTCCGAGGACACCGCCGCCTGTTGGCGGCGCAGTGTGCTTATTAAGTATCGTGGTGGTTATAGACACGTGCAGCTTGTTTGGCAATAATCGACGCCAAGTGCAGTGCAAGGTTGTTGCCGCAATAACGCTGGTAACATGCACAGTCAACGAAAACTGAACCCATAACAATCCGTGACGAACAAGCTCTGGACCAAAGCGTAACACATCACACCGTTCGCGCCTCGCTGCACGTTCGTCACGCCCGGCGCACCGACCGCAGAGCAACGCGCCGCCCGAGCAGCCGCCGACGGGCGGGCGTCTCCGAACCGTCGCCACCTGCGCCAACACGCCCACTGGCCGGAGACGCATTTGTCTCTCAACGGCGGAGGGGACAGAACGAGACGGAGGCACGTTACCTGGCGGCGCGGCGCCGGCGGCCGACTGGCCGTACAGCGCCAGGATGGAGTCCCGCGACATGACCTTGGCGGCGGCGCCGCCGGCGGCCGACTCGGCCGGCTGGCTGAAGAAGCTGGCCTCCTCCGAGAGCAGCTGGGAATCGCCGCCGGACGGGGCGGCCGCCGGCGGCTGCGGCGCGACCCCACGTGTGAGAACGGACCTCAGCCGCACGGCCGGGGATGTTAACAGGCCGGCGGGCGATCCGTCCGCTTCAGTTTGACGACCAGACCACACCTCTCCCGCCACAATCTCGACTTCGTCTTGTCAACGCTGAACTAACTTACGACTTCAAGATACGTTTGGTCAATAACCTATATTTCAACTGCAGGTTGAGGCACAGCTACCTACATGACAATAACCTGGCAACAATACCGCCGCTAAGGATCTTAATGCAAAGGTGCGGCAAAGTAAGTCGCTAAAATTGCATAAGCGCGGCAAAGCAAGTCGCTGTATTTCATGTAGCTGTTGGTCCCCATCATGCATCACATTGTTGCAATGTCATTCATGCAACGCCAGGCGCGGGCGACGGGCGGATGTGACGCAGCAACACTCACCGCGGGCGCAGCAGCCGGTGCGGCGCTCAGGAAGTCGCCGAAGGGGTCGGCCGAGCCACCCCCATCGTCCGCCGGAGCAGGAGATGGCGTGTCTGCGACAGAGGCTGGGCATCAGCGGAGGTAGCGGCGGCCCGACGCTGCGGGCCAGCTGACAACGCGGTCCACACTACATGGGACGGCAGACAGAGCGCGACTCACACTGCATGGGACGACAGACAGGGCGCCACTCACACAGGCAGGGGACGGCAGACAGGGCGCCACTCACACAGGCAGGGGACGGCAGACAGGGCGCCACTCACACAGGCAGGGGACGGCAGACAGGGCGCCACTCACACAGGCAGGGGACGGCAGACAGGGCGCCACTCACAAAGACATGGGACGGCAGACAGGGCGCCACTCACACAGACATGGGACGGCAGACAGGGCGCCACTCACACAGACGGGGGACGGCAGACAGGGCGCCACTCACACAGACGGGGGAAAGCGCACAGGGCACGTGTCACAATGCCACTCTCCCACACACCGAGGCGGTCTCGGGCCGGACGGGACGGACGAGTCACGCCCACTGACTGCAATCGCGTCCAATGTCGTCCGCACAGGATGTACGGGTCGTCAAAATGAGCATACCTAGCCCGAGCAGATCCGCGGCGGCACTGGCAGCGGCGGCTGGTCGAGCAACCGCCGGCGTCTCCTTGGTCTTGACCTCCTTGGCCTGAGGGGCGGCGGTGACCGCGGAAGAGGCCACGGGAGAGGGCGCCGCCAGCGGCTTGGTCAGCAGCGGCGCCGGACTCTCCACCCGGCCGCGCGAGCCCTTCCTGTGCTTTTGGTCCCTGATCATGGTGTCAATCTCAGCGTCCCAGTTCACCTGCAAAGGACTTCGGGCTCAGCGGTCGCCTTGATCCGCACTTGTGTATAGGAAAATCAATGACACGGAGAGTGAACGCAGACATGCGCTGCACAGAGCAGTAACACACAACATGAAACGTCTACGGTATGTTTACATATATATATATATATATATATATATATATATATATATATCGGCATCTCTTAGCAGAATATCTTCTTCGGAGCACGTTTAATTAATAACGACCGCTGACTCCGCACTGATGGGCTTTTTTCGATCGAATGATCTGCGTCATTCCAGTTCCTGGCTTTTGTTTTAGCAGCATCGCCCCGATAAAAGAACTTTCCCGAAAAATCACTCATATGTTCGTCAATCAGTACGTTCTTACAATTCGAAATCCTATCTCATAGTCGGGGAAAGAATGGCACGAAAATTGACGCAAGAAATAAGTTTTGAGTTTTTAAGGACTAAAACTGTTCATCACTATCTTGAGAACATCTTATACTACGGAAACGACACCCAAAGTAAGACCAAGTTGAAGTAAGACAAAATCCTACTGTCACTTAAATACACATAAAATGCACCCATAATAACAACAATACACACACACATTGCCACAAGTACATCTATGGTACCAACCGCCCATCACCTAATAACTCAAGGGTTGTACAAGGCTTTGCTTAGGGCTGGAGAATTCCTTACTAAAAATGTTTCCCCAAATTTGATTGGGTCTTATGTCATTGTACGTCTGAAGCATGCCAATGTTCTCCGTCAGTTGTTGTCGTGCCAATGTCCTGTCATGTTCGTGTAGTGTGTGCTCTGGGAGTGCCCTGTGACGTAAGTGCATTGTCAGGCGTCGTAAGAGTGCTATTGTGGTTACGCCGATGTAAGTAATGGGACGAAATTTGCAGCCTTCCCGGTTACATCTGAATTGATATAAAAAACTGGTCCGCTTTAGTTAATCCGGTTTGTCTGAGCTGTCTATCGTAGGAAAGTTGGAGATTTCCCCATTGCAAAATAAATGACAATGTCTCTTTTGTGATCTGATTGATTCAGGCCAATTCCTAACGCGATCCTGTCCAATCAGGGCAATGCTTAAACCCACGTCTGAGGAATGGCCGTATGACACTAATTTTGTGGCATCGAGGACGCTCACTGTCAGCACTTAAACACCATCTGATGTTAGTCTGCTTCTGGTATACCGTCGTTCTAAGTCGTTCTTCTCGTCAATCAACAGTCACGTCAAGAAAGGGCACTATATTCTGCAAACGTAGTTCTTTTGTGAATTTTAAACCAGATTGCCATTCAAAGATATTTTTGTGACGTCCTAGTTGGTCAGTGTCCCTGACCGCCGCAAAATTATCGTCCGCATAGCGCTAGTAAATGTCCGATCTTATGTCGTCATTTTGTAGTGTGTCGGCTACTGCATGTCCCGTAAAGAAAATGGCGAATAAAGGCCCAAGAGGAGAGCCCATCGCAACATCCTTAACTTGGGGGGCCTGATGGATGAGTGTATTACCAAACTAAGGGCGTATTTTATACGTAACAAAGTAACAAAAGGATTTTGTTTTAATTCAATTTGGTCTTACTTCAGCTGACTTCTCCGCACTTAAAGATATACTCAAGATAGTGATGCACCTCAAAACTTATTTCTCGTGCCATTCATACTTCTCCGATGATGAGATCTCGAAACGTAAGAATGCCCAGACTGGCGAATATGTGCGTGCTTTTGTACGAACTATCTTTTATCTTAACGATACTGTTCTTCGAAAAGCCCCGAAGAGAAAAAAATAAAAACTCGAACAATGTATAAAAAAGCTCGTCAATGCGGAGTCAGCAGTTGTTTTTAATCAAAAATGCATGCGTGTATATAAATATATATATATATATATATATATATATAATGTAATTTATTCGTTTTAATTAAACAACGGGATAGCGTCACATGATTACCTTGGGCCAACAACACACACTTCAAATTATCGAGTAATATCTCGTCTATGCAAGACGAATGTAAAAAAGTAGCCATCCGGGGCGACACGGCTCTGCAGAGCACCTACGCGAAAGCGCCATACCCTGTCCCAACTCAGTGCGCACCACCCAACGGACCGCCAGCTGTGACAATGCCAACGCCTGGCGAGACACGGAGAACGCCCCCGTCATGAGTAGGCGGCGGGGGGGGGGGGGGGGGCGGGCGAACACTGACCTTGGGTAGCCGGGGCGGCACCCACTCGCGCGCCGTGTACTTGTTGTGTTCGTACTTGGCGCGGATGAACGACTCGAGCGCCGAGTCCGTCTGCGGCCGGCGGAAGTTGTCCGGCAGGTTGGCCTCGTACACGGCACGCGCCCGGCTGTTGCCCATCTGCTGGAGCGCCTGCGGCAGCGCCAGGTCCCGCTCAGGGGGGCGAGAGGCGCCTCGGACGTGGGACGAGGGGGACAGAGCACTCCCGGCCGCTGCTCGGCGAGCGGCGGACTGGTGACGGTTGGGCGGATCAGCACGACTGCGCAGAACTTCAGCGGACCGTTGTGTTGAAAGGCTGAGACGTTGCGAGATGCAAGGATGTAAGGCCAATGGTGAAGGGGCACACTTGCGCACAACTGAATCATCATTTGAAGCAAAACTGGTGACTTGGATTAAACAGTGGTTTTCTGACCAACATTCACCCATGACTAATGTCTATTTTGACTGCACTTGAGCTACAACTTAACATAGCTGCATAAAGATAGCTGTAATCTGCCGAATCGATCAATGACGCTAAAAATCTGTTGAAGGATGGGGGGGGGGGAATTGTACATACATATGGCATCCACACCCATATCACGTGAAAAACAAATCAACGCCCCTCACCCCCCCCCCAAAAAAAAAAAATGTCAGGTTTGCATAGAGCTACACAAGTATGCCACGTGACCGTGTGGGGTGCTTAGTGTTTTACCCCGACCACACGAGACTACAGGGGGTCACTTGGGGGGAGGGGGAAGGGATTGAGATGGACTTGACCCAGATAGCTCCACCTAGTTCGCAGAAGCCGAGGGCTGCTTAGCATTTGGCCCGGGTTCGGCCAGACGTACCCAATTTAGTTCACGCGAAATATGTCACCAGACAGCATCATCGTTGACAACCCGTGCCAGAACCCAGCAAACTGCGCCAAAGTGCCGGACGCCCGGCGGGTCCTCGTGCCACGAGCCGTCATTAGAAACGCAAGCTGGCCGAACACAGCGTCCGCAATCTGACACCGCGTCTGCTGTCTGTTGGCGGGGCCGCGCTCCGAGCAGCGACCACGACCGTCACACCCCCACAGCTGCGCTGTACCGGGAGAGTGGCCCGAGGTCGACGCACGGGCGGATGGCGGCTCGGAGGCAGTGTGGCGCATCAGGGGCGCTGTTCGGGCAACAGGTGGGCGCGGGGTCACGGCGTAACAACACGCTAGGAAAGGAGTTTATTGTGACAACACCTACACGTGTTCGGGCACGGCGCCGGCATACCGGTCGTCGAGGATCGAACCTGGGTAGGGCATGTCCCTGCATGGCCGCTTGCGTGGCATTCATCGGGATGGGTGGACAGCGGTTGAGTATGGGGATTGGTTTCTACATCTAAACGGCGCGTCACTGCCCCCCCCCCCCCCCCCTACAGTGTCACTGGCACTGCACCTACAGCAACGATTATAGCGGACTCCGTTTCTGGTGAGGAGCTAGCGGAACGCGGTAGAAAACGAGAAAAATGAAGAACTTGAGGCGGCCGCGAAAGACTTCGGGCATGAAAAGAACAAAACGGAACAAGATGTAATGGTCTTCAGTAGGTCCTAAGGGCTGATTGCTGCTGCATTGCAAATTGAGCACGGATTGTGATGTTTAAGCTAATTGAGATGCATTCATCTCCAGCATTTGACTCACAACTACATGGCGTGATGTCACAATAACATGGCGTTATGTTTCTCGAAGTGTCAAACACAACGTTCATAACAGGAACAAATGAAGTATGTGCACCTGTAGCGAGTTTTAATGCTTACGTGAGGCATTCAACATATCCCTCACACCTCATCAAAGTGCGTGATTGTCCATGATATTGTGCAGGCACCTGCCTATAAAACTAATTTTACCGATTTATCTCCTCACATAGCTTTTTACAAAAATCCTGACACCACCACCCAGTACAGCAAGTCCAGCATAATAGGTAACTGGCTGAAATATTATGGTGTACCATGCAATGCTGTGGCATGACCAGCCTGTGCCAGCCTGAACCTCTCATAAACAATGGTCAGTTGACTGCCTGACCAGCAAAATAATCCAGTTACAATTCAAAAGCGCCATTTCATCGTTGTTGATCAACAACAACAATCCACATTGTCTACAACACTGGCTGTCAGGTGTTCAGTGCTCGACTGACTGAACAGCTGGAACAGTCTTAACATAACAAATAACCAAGATCCCATCTATCCAATACAACAAAGGGCGACAGCAGCAAGCATGATGGGTGCTGGCTGCTCCATGGCCAAGCCTCCACCACGATCCACTCACCACTGCCTGCTCTGGCTTCCATGTGTCCAGGTTGACTGACTTGACCTTGGAGATGTGCACACCCAGGTTCCTGTGGATGCCCGCGCACCGAATGCAGAGGAAGACGCCAAGGTTCCAGGAGGCCCAGCGAGGACCTGCGGGACACAGCAGCCATGTGACGGTCAGCGCAGAGGAGTAGCTGAGGGTCACTGATTCTGAGGAGAACTGACTATGCTGGAGGGTCATTAATGTATACTAAATCTGCATCTATCTTTTAGAAAATGTGTCATGATGGGATCAGACTTGCAGGCTTCATTTTGGGGGAACCAATCACAAATCCAAATCAAAGTGAACAGAGTCGAAGCTTAATGTACTCCAGCATGACTGTGGAAAATGGGAATGAGATCCAAATCTTCTGCTGCATGGTTTGAATTGCCCCACAACCTTATGCCTATTTTGTGAGTCAGGTACTTTAAAGGCAGAAGCTAATCTATCCTGATTATGCTGCAACCTATTCAGACCAATTCAAAATCCAATTCAGTTAGACATTCAGTGTAGCTGGCACAATCTGAGTCTGAATCTGGCCAAAGCAGAACTCATTCCACACTAAAAGTTTAGTTGCCTGAGTCACACACAACTAGGGCAGGGACCATTGCAATAAATCTTGGTTAAGGTCAGTCAAGGTCAGGGAGGGGATCTGTGGGGCCCCCAGATCCTAGGGAGACATCACCTGGGGGAAAAACCCAGGAACAATCAGTCATGACTGTGGACAGGCAGGCTGATTTTGAGCAGAAGAAAAAGACTCCTAGTTTATATCCATAATGTTTGTGGACATCCCAGTGGCATTCAAAACAGCATGACTAGCTGTTACAGGCACAAAATGACCATTGATGCCTGTGTGCCCTAGTGCCTCAAATCATCATCAACCACACTGCTGGCCGTAGCACTGTTTTTCTGGCCAAGAGACATGATGGGAACAACTGGAGCATGACATGAATGAGGACCATCTACCTCACTGATGAGCATATGGCAGCTGACAGGCACCTGTTAAGTGATGTTACCACACTACATGCATTACGATCATGATAACGTGCTTTCCTGGCACGTGGCTTGCAATTAAAATAGACAACATCATCAATATCTACCTGGACTACAATGACCTCACCTTTGGCATCACAGTCAACACAGTACTTGTTGTCATCATCCTTCAGCATTCCTGTGAGTATGGCCAAACATTTCTCCTGGACTATCTTCTGTTTCTCTGCTGCCAATCTATTACTGCCATTCATGATTTCCCTGTAATGTCCTAGGGGTAAAATTCATTAGGATCATTCAGTATACCCATTAAAATATAAACGACGGCATGACTGAGTGACATCACAACATATGAATATGTCACAAACAGACTTTTAATAGACCGCCTCTGCTAAGCAAAAGCCGGCAACATTGGAGCAGCCATACTGTCAACTAACATTGCGTGAGTCATCATTATCAGCCACTTCTATTGGTTGTGGCAATTGATGTTTATCAAATAAACAATGTATATGCTAACACATTTGTTTATGATGTGGTTTCGATATCACACATCATATGCTACTAACAAAGTGATGGATAGATTAGGCCAGTCAGCAGCAGGCTTGAAGGAATAAGCATTTTGGCCACTTCACATTAAAAGTCATATACACTATGTCTAGTTTATTGGTTGTGCCCCCACCCCATTTACCCACAGGCCACTTCATCTGTAACTGGGCACTACTTTAGGACCAACAACAATAGGTTACAATCATATGATTATCTTGAAAACTAGACAATACGATATTTGAGGGATACTGTTTTAGAAAATCATGCTGTTCATACCCTAAATCCACTCATACATTGCACACATGAGAAATAGCGGCGTCGGTCGCGAAGCCCCGCTTTTGCACCACTAGTGCTGTTGGTAGATGTGCTGCGCATCTCTCAAGTGGTCTGGGTTCGTCAACACAAGTGCCAGCTGATGATGACGTCAAAGCCCAGCGAATACTTATTTATCCTTACTACGCCATGTTGTTGATAACGCCGTTGGGACACCAAACAATTGCCGCGTTTCCAAAAGCGACTAACTGTTCATGGAGGTTGAGATTTACGAAGTCGCCTCGTGGTGTAGCCGTGGCCGACTCGAGGCACTTATCGCCACACGGCCCCTGTTGGGCACCATGGCCCCTGACCGACACAGGGGCCCCTCATTGTGTCAGATACCCTGCACATTACAAATCGCGGGCCACCGACCTTGTTCCTGCTTGCGAAAATAGGCCTCAGGACTAAGACGGACGTCGAGCCGACTATTTGGCTCCGTGTCGGGGCCCTTTATAAAGGGGACAGCGAACCCCAATAAGAGGGCCCTTATAGAAACCCTCTGACTGACATTTCAGGTCACGGTACTTCAGGTGGGGCTGTGCCGAGTCCAATCGGGTCCTTGATCTTGAGTCCTGAGGGGCCCTCCGGCCGGCCCCTCTTCGGACTTCTTCATACAAAGCCCGTGACCGACTAGCGGTCACAAGCCAATACCTGAACCCTGTTATGCACTTTGGGCCCCTGACCGCCACAACCGCCACACAATCCAAGGATCCAGACCAAGGTAAATCGTGGTCACCAGTCCTGCTCCCGCTTGGGCAATGGGCAACCCGGGTTCAGACAGAGGGGAAATCAGCTGTTCAGGTGCAGGACCTCGTAATGATGCTTCAGGTCACGAATCTACGGGCTGCGATTCTTTGCGTGACCCACAGCAGTCCTTCGCGCCCTTACGCCCTCCCACCGGGCCCTTGATAGTGGTTCCGTTGGGCCCCTTTCCGGGTCTAATTAAACACTGCCCTCGGTTGGCTAGGGGTCCCCTGCAAGCACAGGGCCGTCTGTTAGGCGCTGTGGATCCCTCGCAGATACACGGGCTCCGAACAGTGCAATTCACGGGCTCTGGCCTTATAGCTGATTGGGAAATGAGCCCTCAGACCCGTACCGATACGGAGCGGACAGCGCGGCGCTGATGGTGTCTAACCGACATATCTACCCATATCTGCTTAGGGTGTCCGTGATCGACGCAAAGGTCCCTCTGACTGTCATTTGAGGGTCGTTCCGCAGGCCAGGGCCCCTGAATAAGACTCCGAACTGTCCTTCCTGCTCCCAGGCCCTCCAATCGACCCCTTGATCGTCGGGTCCAGTGGGCACTCAAGGCTCTTCGTGCCCCCTCGAACACTACCTCTGGCTGACATGAAGCTCTTGCCGGCACGGGACCCTGTTAGGCGCTGTGGGGCCCCGACTTTTGTCAATCGCTGGCTCCGGCTTTGACCCTGTATGGGGAAATGGCCCCCAAACCCATGCCAACACGGAATAGACTGTACGTTACTGGTGACGTCTGGCCGGCATGTACGCCGTTATCGACTGAGGGGCCTGATCAGCGCGCAGAGCCCTCTGGCTGGTATTGGATTGCCTTTGCCGTTTGTTTGATATCCTAGCAACGTCACAGATACCATGCAATAAAGAGTACAGAAACCCAGCTCGTTTGCTAATGACGTCATCATTAGCTGGCACATGTATGTACGAACGACACTTCCTTGAGAAGACAGGCCACAATCATCAACAGAACTGGCGGGGAGAACAGGCAGATCCTTGACGAGCACTATCACTGATATACGAAAAAATATGAATGGGCTAACGATATCAACAGCATTATTTTCTGAAACGACACACATGAAATAACATTTTGTCACGTTTTCAAGAAAATCATAACATTGCAAACCATTTTTGATACATGAAAAGTAACATCTGATGGAGAGTACCCATTTCTACACTTAATGCTTAGCGCGTCACATGCTATGACAGATTCAACAGTCTGGTCTTTTCAGAGGCTGCATGAGCATGTTATCCAGCAGTGGCCAGTAGAAAGACACC